GTATTTAAAATAAGATAATTAAAATAATTAAAATTATTAATGTTGTAACTGTTCCAATTGTAAATCGATTATTCGATATGGAACACAGAATGATATTTTAATTATTTTAATTATCTTATTTTAAATACATTGTGATTTGACGGAATAACCAAATAATTTAATTTTAATTTAATAAATCACAATATGACGCAACTACACTATCTTGTGTTAGATATAATCAAATAAACAGAATATAAAGTGGGCCGCGGTCAGCGAAATCAGAAAACACGTCAACTAAGACAGACCCTTCTAACTGAGCAGGTCAGCATTGAAATATATTACCAATAAAATATTTTACTTCTACACAATTTCAATCATATATCCTGAAATACAAAATAAAATACTGATTAGTTACCAGTTTCAGAAACAAATCTGTGAAATTACTACTACAGCAGCAACACAAATGTATTTTCATTAAAGCAGAAAACAGTTGCGCGTCGATTTGTAATTGTGAGACATAATGTTCTCACGTCGGAATAATAGCACAAGCTCCAGACCAAATTTCGTCCAAATCCGTCGTTGTTATCGATGTTAACCGAATGCAGACGCACTTGGTATAAATAGAGACATAATAACTGACTGGTAGATGGGTCGTATTTGAAGGCGATCGTTCTGAAAACAGTTTGCAATTTAGAACTAGCCTGAAAACCGAAAAAATAACGAAACAAGGGCGTGTTAATAATATTTTTTTTCAAAATCTTTGTGTGTGTGTGATTTTGCTGAGGGCCTAATCTAACTATGTAAGACTTGAGGTTCTCACAGCGGTGAATATGAGGATTTCTGTCTTCTGGGTTATTGCGCTGTGTAGCCTGGTCGATGTTAACCAACGTTTCAGAGGTTGATCGCCCTGATGACGGAGGCCGGATGACCTCTGAAACGTTGGTAAACATCGACCAGACTACACAGCGCAATAACCCAGAAGACAGAAATCTTCATCGCCCTGATGATGGAGGCAGTATGACCTCCGAAACGTTGGTAAACATCGACCAGACTACACAGCGCAATAACCCAGAAGACAGAAATCTTCATCGCCCTGATGATGGAGGCAGTATGACCTCCGAAACGTTGGTAAACATCGACCAGACTACACAGCGCAATAACCCAGAAGACAGAAATCTTCTAATCTAACTACTTTACATTCGCCCTTGCATGGAACTTGGCTGCCAGCATGTGACTGCCTGAACGTATTTTTCACGAACAAAATGTTCTCTGTAAAGCTGTTATTGATTAATGGAGGAATATAAAAAAGTCTTAAAACTCCCAAGCTATTCTTCTAAGATCAATGTTCATGTCACCCTCATTTGGACTGCTTCCATAATGTATTTTGCATTTATTTCTTTAAATGTCTACGTGCACTTCTAACTCATATCGTCAGCTTTTAAAACTATTCAAAATACGAAATGAAGTCAACAAACCACAAAGATTTTTTTGTTTTCATGTATCCATCTGAAGCCTAAGCTCGAACAGAAATCACATTTACACACTCAGTACAAAACGCAAAGAAACACAATGGGTCAACATTACAAAGAAAATTTGTTTATTTCAGAAATAATGCCTGTTTCAACTGAGAATTGTACGAAACGTGCATAAGGTAAAAATGTATATTTACTTGTTACTAAAGTTTCATAGAAAGGGCGCCACCTGCACTTCGACAGGAACCTTCCTCCAACTCCAGTCGCAATTAACCTTTAAACTACGGGGGTTTAAATAGCAAAGTGGTAACAGCCCTACGGAGTTTTTTTTCTTCAGGTTTTTTAAACTTTTGTGCACGCTCTACGGAAAACTTTAATATTATCTAAAGTAAACATGATAAATTGACGAAATAAATACGTTTTATATTTACTAGACGATGGATAATATCCAAGAAAATTTTTATTCAATTGACTCTTCTTACAATGTTGCAAAGTTTTGAGTTCCGCACCGGGAACGTTCGTAGGGCTGAGTACACACACAACTTATGTCCCAGACTGGGAACGCTAGTAAGATAAAGGTTAAGACGGTTGCCAAAATTTTATCATACGCCCTGGTCGAGCAGTGAAGTGTTTTAACCCACCATAAAATCTGACAGGTTTCGAATCATGCGTGAGATACATAGCACAAAGTCACGCAGTTTGGCTAAATCGCGATCTAGCGTGTGACAAATGCACACAAAGACCTCTAGAGATGTGTTTAAGATAGAAAAGCTTCCTCCTTTTATAACGTAGAACTAAAGGACGGCGTTGCAGTAAAATGAATGTTCCGAGTTCGTTTATAAAACCGTAAACGAAAAATGTAAAAGTTTAAAGTTTTCTGATGTCGGTGCGTTATTTTTATTATTTAGTGTTCTGTCTGACGACAGGTCCATATGAACAAGATCCTTCCATCCTTTTCTCGGACTGGGACCTGTTCATATACGTTCTTGGCAGATGATCCAGAAGTGGTTTGCCATTGCCTTCTTCTGTGTGTGAAGGGGATGCCACGGAGAAACCGGGGAAGCCCCCGGAGGAAAACTCCGTGTTGCCTAGACCACGGCCTCGCCCAACACAAGTTATAAATTCGGGCACCGCCGGGAATCGAACCCGAGACACCAGGATTACAAGGCCAGCGT